TTGAGATTTGTGATTTTGTTTAAGCAAAAATTAGAATCACTCATCTTCAAAGCATGGTCAGTAGAAGCAATCTGCTAAGTCAGTGAGTGAACCCAGATAAGCATTTGTTTCTTATATGGCATTGTTGGGTTCTTGTTTTCTGCAGTAACACTCCTGAAGGTCTCTCTACAATGACATAGCTCTTGAATTATTCATTTGACCGTGAGTCCATGTCTCTGTGAACCTCAAGGATCTGTGGTGTGTCTTTTTACTATGACAAATATTATTCCTGATTCCACAAAAACACTCTAAAAGAAATAGTATTCTGTGCCTGAAAGGGTTGGAAAACTTGAAAAACAAATTTAATTTTGAATACAATTGTGAATAATTTAGATGAGAAGAGAAACAGTAAATCTAGTCAGAAATTTAAGTGACTGTACAGAGAATCTGCAAGCTTAAACATTTTAAATAGATTCACAACAGGGAAGGCGAAGAACATAAAAAAATATAAAAGAAGATAATCAGGCACCTGGAAAAGCAATGAAGGAAAGTCAAAGTTTATCAGGAGCTCACTTTTGAAGGGAAAATTCTTAAGAAAAATGCAAAAGGTTTGAGGTGAAGGAATACTAATAGATAATATAGGTAAAGCCTGTTTTTGCAGAAAGATAAAGTGATACTAGGGCCAGGTTGTAGCTCAGTGGTGCTGCGCCTGCCTGCAAGGTTCTCAATTCCATCCCTGGTATTGGGAAGAAAAACAAAAGTGATACTAAAAGATAATGAAGTAATAAAGAGTAGGAAAAACTTCCTGGTTCAGACCCTGGTCATTGTTCGTGGTAACCTGTGCTGTCCAGGAATGGAATAGGTTGCCTGGCAAAACCGTGAGGTTTTGGATATTGCAGGTACTCAAGCAATGACTAGAAAATTGCTGAGCAAGAATGTGGAGCCATTTGCATTTGCTCCTAGAACTTCCTCTGCTCAAGCAGAGGAGAGCACGGGGGCTACACAAAGACCCTGAATCCCAGTTCTGCAATCAAGGTGTGCTTTAGGATGACCCTGCTTTTATTATTCTTATTCTTCCTGTGTGCTGTCTGCTTCTCTAACCAGTTCCTTTAGATTGAGGTTTTGACTGGCTTTTAGTTTGAGTTTCACTCTGAAGTATGATTTTCAGAGGTCTCTTGGGTATATTTTACCCAACTAGAGTCCAACACAGCTTGGAACTGCTCATATAGAAGAATTAGTATGTATGTCACCATAAATCTAATAATTGAATGAAGCACTATAATTTTTTTCTTCATATTAATGGGTCTATTTTTCTTTTGTATTTGATGAGTCAACTATGCATAGATATCAGGCTAATTGCTTTTGTCAGTGGGCTCTTATATTTGGAAAAATGTAAGTTGGAGAAAGCAAACACACTTTTATAATAAGGATTAGGGAGCAAGAGTCATTATAAAAAATGCACAGGTGATGTGTTTGGGGGAAATTTTCTATTGTCCATTTCTCTTTATACTAGGGTTGAGTTTCTTCTTGTTTGCAAGAAGACAAACTTCTTTGCCTCCACCAGAGGAGACTGTTAGATCTGACAGAATCATGACATCACATCACTTTCAGAAGCTGTGATGCTGCTGCTATTTCATTCCTTTTTGGCTTTACAGGCTGTCCAAGAAATGTAGAGTGGAAATGGGTCCTTACAGCCACAGATACCACCTCTCCAGTTGATCACAAGAGTACAGTTAATGTGTCTTTCTTCTTTGGTTGCAGAAATCCTCCTTAAAAATTGGCTAAATATTTCCCTCTACAATTCCCAATTTCCTCATCAGAAAATTACGAAGTTCTTATCAAATTTTGGAATGAGAATAATACTTGTTATAAGTATGCTTTTTAAAATATAGAGAAATATAGATGAAACTTCATAATAGAGAAAAAGTTGTAGAATAGATGGAAGGAGAAAAGAGAAAAAAGGTTTTTCTTATCTTGAAAAAAATAGAAACTATTTCCAAGGCGTGTTGTTCCATAGAACATGCTGGGTAGACATTGTTATGAAACTCAAAGAAAATGGTGCAGTTTAATTCCACTGAACTGTCATTTTAGACAATCTTTTTATCTCTGCCAGGTATCTTTGCCTTTCTCTTTTTGAACCTCTGTGAACATCTGTTTCTTGAGGTCTACTTATTTCTTAACTTCCTTCTCTATCTTATAAGTTAGCACTTATCCTACAGTCTTTTTTCTTCCATTTATTTCCATATTGGGCTCCTGCCTTTATTTTCTGTGTGTATATTCCACCTTCTTTATTGAATACTGTCCTAAGTTTGTACTCTGTGTTGTCATCCTTTCCCACCTACCTGTGCCCACATACTTCCTACATATAAGGTATAATCAAAATGTAAGGTGTGTAGGTTTAAGTTTTAAAAAAGTGTGTTACACTGAAAGACGTATTGCCTTTAGTGTCCCTCAAAATACATCTACTCAGTTCAAACCTGCTTATCAGTTCAAACATGCTTATCCCATTTTTCTTCCCTCTTTATGAAGCAGTTCTAGAAATCCTCTTTCATGAGTGTCTTTAGTTGTGCTGCTTTGATGTCCTGAACAGATTCAAAACATTTATTTTGTAGGTCACTTTGACTTAGAGAAGAGCCAGAAGTCACACAGTGCCAGCTCAAGTGAATAAAGGGGATAAAGTTCAGACTGTGTGTTTTTTGTTTTTGTTTCTGTTTTGGTACCAGGGATTGAACTCCAGTCCTTGTGCTTGCAAGGCAGGCCACCGAACCGCTGAGCTAAATCCCCAGCCCCATACTGTAATGTTTTTGAAGCCAATCTTTCTACTAAATGGCACTTGGCAGCGGCACTGATTATATTTTTACTATATATTGTTATGGTATAGGTCTAGATATCCCCCCAAAGCCTAGTCTGGTGGCTGAATCTAGAGTGTGTGATGCTGGGATTAAGGGTGTGTGGTTACTAAACGAGTACACTGACTGGTTTGGCATCGCCCTAATCCTGGTAGTCTGAATAAGATAAAAGGGGCAGAAAGACACTGATAAAGTCCCTTGTTGCTTTTGCTACCTGTTGGGTGCCATGTTGTTTTTCCTGTGCAATGCCTGTTTCCATCTATCATGCCTTGGAGCCAGCCAGTTATTGACTGAAACCTCTACAAACTGTAAGATAAAAAAGACCGTTTCCCCTTTAACCTTGGGTGTCAGGTATTTTGTTTCAGCAACGAGAAAAGTAACTAACACACACCTTATAGTGATATTCATGAAAGAGAGCTCCCAATTGGTTCAGAAAATGACAAGAATGATGGGATATATGTGTTTGATGTGAGGATGTTTTGAGGGGGATCAATTTCAAGGTATCATTTACTGAAATAAATTTTAAAAATTCAAACATCAACTGTATATTTGGACCACACTTCATATAGTGGCTTCCATCATACCTTTGTTGGTTCTTTTTTGCCAACTTAGTGTGCTTCCCTCTGTAATCCTGCATTGGTGTCTGTTGGGATCAGTGAAATCTAAAGCACATATTCAAATAAAGCACCATTCAAAGTTGTCCCCGTGGAGCAGAAAGCATGAAAAATGATCTGGAAAGAAAAAAAAAAGAAAAACAAAATTGATCTGGAGACATCTGACTGCAAACTCAGTAACAATGACTTTTGACCCTTAGCATTTATATGTTGTTAGCACATGTGCTGTTTTACTGAGTTCTAAGTTTTTTCCCACTTTAAGTGCTTTAAAGAATTTACAGATTTTATTTTGTTACTTTTGTATAAATAACTAATTTTCTAAACTAGTATTTGTATCACTTTTCTAAATTTTCTAGCATTATCTTCCTTCCTAAATCTTTGTCCAAGGATCATTATGTCTTTTTGTTTTGGTTCTATACTAGTAATTTGTTCATATTTCTCTTTTGTCACTTTTTATATTTTATTTGTAATTGTATATTAACATAATTGCTTTCTCTTGAAGATATTTTTTATTTCATTTTGGTTAGTACCAAGAAAATAGTACAGGAACAAAAAGACTGATTTCTCTAAATAAGTGATGGACTATAGCCTTTCCTGTCTTCTGAAAGATCCTACTGCTGGATATAGAAAATTCTTAGGTCATTGTGTTAGCTTTTCAACAATATGACTAAGTACCCTGAAAAAAAAATCTTAAAGAAGGAAAGGTTTATTTGCTCACAGTTTCAGAACTTTCAGCCTGTGGTTGGCTGGCTTCATTGTTATGGGCCTGTAGCAAAGCAGAACATCATGGTGGAGCAAGGCTGCTCACCTCATAGTAGGGAAGGAAGGAGAGAGGAGAAAGAGTGAAAGAAAGATTAACCAAGACAGAGAGAGAATATGAATATTTCCACCTCCCAATATTGCTACAAAATTATTTAATTAATTAATTCACTGATGAAGTTAGAGCCATCATGATATTGTCAACTTCCAAATACCCATCAGCTGGAGATCAAGCCTTTGATACACAGACTTTAGGGGACAAATAGTCCTTATAGTCTTATAGTACAAGGACAGATAAAAATGAATGTAAACAGTCTGAAATAGAGGGATTATATAAGAAAAAAATTTCAGTGCCTAGAACTCTTACAAGCATTCTGTATGATGTTTCTTGCTAAGGAATATGATTGTTGCTTTATATGGATGTGTTGATTATTTCTGGACACTTAATTGGACTTTTTTATTGGTACATTTTAGGTATACAATACAGTTATATTCATCACTGGAATCTTGTACCTTCACATGACAGGTCTTGGTTCTCATTTTTTCCCTATTCCCCTGCCCTCCCTTCACCCCTTCCACCCTTCCCTATTTGCAAAATCTTTGTTTCCATTTTTTCTTTTCCCTTCTTATCTTTCCCCTACACGTCCCACTTTTCCTATACCTTTAGACCTTTTCTTCCTATTACATAATATCAATTATACATTTCTACTCTTATTTACACTCTTAGTTTATCACACCAGAGAAACTGTACTGTATTTACACATGTGTGTCTATTAATTTCACTTACTTTTTTCCACAGGGACGTTGATCCAATTTTGGGAGTCCCTGGGTTTGGAAAGGAGGGTCCTTTCTCCTGTAAGGACAGCTGGTTACCACCACTACCAGCACTCTGTGGAGTGTAGGAAGAATGCCCAGGTAACTAACTACACAGAAAACAAAGGTGATTAACAGGGAGTGTGGGGGAGCTACTGTTCAAGGTTCGGAATCACAATCTGCTAGCTCTCCTAATGCTCCCTGATATAGTCTAAACTCTCAGGAATGCTCAGCAAGGTGTGGACAGAAATGTTGGTGGAAGAGACAAGTGAAAAGAGAATAAGATAGGAAGCAGACTGTTCTAGTGAGTCTGGCCACTCAGAGCTAGGACAATTTACAAATAATTGCAGAGCTAGGAAAAAAAACACACCAGTAATCTCAGACAAAATATTGATTAACTGCTTTGGGTTTCCCTTGCTATACAACAAATTCCCACAAATTTAGTAACTGAAAAAATCACATAGTTTAATCTCACTGATTTTGTGAATCAGTAATCTGGAAATACATTAGCAGTTTTTGTTGTTAGTGTTCTTTGTTTTGCTTTTCAGAAATTCATGAGGCAAAAAAATCAAAGAATTGACTGGGTTCTATTATAGAGCTTGGGATATTCTTTCAAATTCAGGTGGTTGATGGAAGAATACGTTATATGTATTTCATGTGACTGAGTTACTAGCACTCTTGCTGACTCTTAGCCAGGGGCCTCTTTCAGATGTTACAGGCCGCCCGTAGTTACTTGTCACTTGGTTCCCTCCATATGGCCTTTAAAGTTCCATAACTTCAGGAAGAATGCATTTCCCCTCCAGCATTCTCTCATACAATCTCTTTTTTATTAAAGCTGAATTTAAGTTGATAGCTCATCTAATGGTAGTATGATAATATTTTATCATATCCATGGGTTCTGCCTAGCATCAAAGGGAGGAACTATGCAGGTTGTGTATATCAAGGGGTGGGAATTTTGAGGACCATGTTAGAGTTAGAATACTTCTGCTATAATGATCAAAGGAAAATACACTTGTTAAAATTTCTAGATGAAGATTCTTTTGATTGCCAGTTGCTAAACCCATCCCAAATAGCATAAGCTAAAAAAGAATGCATTGCATATATGCTAAAATATTTTACAAATTCCAAGGAAGAATTAAACAGCCAGCCTTTAGGAAGAGTAAACTCTGTGGGGCTGGGGATTTAGCTCAGTGGTTCCTCCACCTGCTTCTCAAGTCCCAAGTTTGATCCCTATTACCCACCCCAAAACAAAGTTTACTCTGTGGAAGCTCAGAGAACTCAAGTAATGGATAGTCTCAGTACTTTGGCTCAAAGAAATTTGTCTCAGTTCAAAATTAAAAATTTCTGGAAAAGAACTTCAGAGCAGGTGTGTATCCTGAATTATTGAAATACAATTGATGACAGTGTCTCATAGTGCAGACATAGTTCTACTCCTGTTCTTGTGTATTGGTCTAGTTATCAGAGAAAGGGTCATCGCAGTGAAATGTTTACCTATATCAAGGAGACATGTGCCACCAGTAAAGCAGATGATGCAGTTTTGGCATGTATCCATAGCTGTGTGTAGACAGCAGCAAAATGTCAGCCATCCAGAAATGGTCTGATTAAAGTGTTAGTTTTGGTTAAGTTATACTAAAATGCTCAATAATGTGCTGAGCTTTTAAATGTTTTAAATGATTCTATTTTGATTCAGCATTTACTGTTAAATGCTACATTTTAGGTAGTATTTAACCAAAACCTGCAAAGTTTTATGTGCCTTCAATAGTTTCAACATATTTCCAAAATTTAAGATGCCTTCTCTTTCTCCTCAGAAAATTTGGAGGTGAGTGGAAATGGTACCTTTTCCCTAGATCCTCTCATACTATGCTACGTGTGTGAGATGAACAGGAGGGGTTAGAACAGGAGGAAGAAGTTTGAGAACAGTTTTGGTATCATGTACTAGCTACACTAATTATTGGTACATGTTTCTTGCCACCATACTTTAGCTCTTTGACATGAGTGGGTGTGATATAGTTTCTGATGTTCAGAAGTAATACTGAAAAATCGCACTTTCATATACTTTTGCTAAGTTAGAGTCATATGTCCTGAGAGATCAGGTGAATGGTGAGATACTCTGAGTGCAAGTTATCATATCTATGTTGAAAGCTTTGTTCAAACATTCATTTTGTTCCTACTGTGATTGTACATTTTATAAGATGGAAGGAATTAGTTGCAATAGTGATATGTATCTTGGTTTCACTAAATTCCCAGAATGTATTTGTTTTACGATATAGTGACTTTCCATATAGTTTGATGTTTATGTAATACTTAGATTATATGATCTCTTGATTCTCTGCATAATCCTTTGAGTCAGTAAGGTAAACCCTATTTAGAGAGAAGAACTCAGAGGGGTTCAGATAGAATGTATCTAATTCTGAAGAAGAGTTGTGGCCTTTTGAATTTTACTCTTGTACATTTTCCTCAATAAAAAGATGGCCTTGTTTCTGTCTGAAGTTGTGACTATCCTGGAAAATGACCAAAGCTCGGCATCAGCGTACCTGGGAGGGGCTCTCAATAAATACTCATTATGATTCCTCAATTCAAAATCCACAAATTTTTCAGTTAATTGTGGAATCATAGCAGTAATGTTTCTCTTTGGGCTTTGCTTTTAGATGCTCTTTGAAGCACAAACAAAATACACCCATACATTATAATTATTTTTAATTTTTTTTTCCAAATAGGCATCAGAGAGAAAAATAACGCTGAAATCTAGAAATGAAGCAGTACAGAGCTAGAGGCTGGGTAGGCCTTGGGGAATCCTCAGGAGTCCAACAATGCAAAGCACCAACCTTAATTAACAGAAAAGTGAAATAGACGCAACTGTATTCATAGTTTGGTTGTCTTTTATTCCCTTTGCAGTTAGTATGTAGGTGGGAGTGATGTCAGTGGACAAAGTGAGCAGAAAAGGCCAGTGATAGATGATTTTTATATTGGTTTTTCTCCTTTTAAACTCTCGTATGAGCCACTGGTAAGTGTGTTGACTTATGGCTAAGTTTTTCTAGCTTGTTAAAGTGCTGGTTTGTGTGTGTGTGTGTGTGTGTGTGTGTGTGTGTGTGTGTGTGTGTGTGAGAGAGTGTGTGTGTGTTTGCGAGTGTGTTTAACAAAATGAAATATGAGTGCAGGGCCTCCATTTTGTACTTTAAAATACAGTAATGACTACTTAGGTATAACATTACCTTTGGCTCTGTGTGCTCCTGAATGTCTACTGTATTTAAGATGTGTATAAAATCTAAAAGCAGTATTGTATCAACAGGAAAGGACTTTTGCCTAGGCAATAAGCATTGTCACTTCATTTGTATCAATGTTCTTTTCCTCATTTCCTATCTTCATGCAAGTTTTGAAAAAAAAACAACACCCACCTCTCTTCTTGAGGTGCTTGAGGTTCAGTGAAACTGTTGCTGGTGCTTTTCTTTTTTTCTTTTTATTGAGTTTATTGGTACAATCTAGGTATACAATACAATTACATTCATCATTGGGATTCTGTACCTTTACATAATAGGTCTTGATTCTCATTTTTTCCCCTTGTCCCTGACCTCCCTTCACGCCCTCCTCCCTTCCCCATTTACAAACACTTTATTTCCATTTTTGCAGTTTCTCATATTTTTTTCTCTCCCTTATTACCTTTCCCCCACCCTTCCCACTTTCCCTACACCTTAGCCCTTTACTTCCTATTTCACATTATTAATTATCTCATTAGGATCCTGTGTACTATTATAGTTTTTCATACCAAAGAAACTATTCGGTATTTCAGTTAAAGAAATCCCTGTATGAACATTAAAAATAGGGAATCCTAAAATAAAACTAAAAAGGAAAGTAAAAGAGAAAAGGCAATGATGTAACATTAAAATAATCCTTAATTCTGGAGATGAAAATGGTCCCTGAACATATTTAAATTGCTTCTCGCTCTTACAGTCTTATCTTATTCTTTTTTTCATTATTTAGAGAATACTTTATTAGTTTCTGTAATCAAACCCACGTAGATATGACCTTACATATTTAGTACAATGTGTTACCCCGTACACATGGAAAAAAAATAAAAAATAAATGAACATTTCTAGACCAATATGGTTGTCCATTTCTGTACAATGCCAACTCAACACAGTAAATTGGGATGACTTTTTCCAAAGTTGGCAGCACCGTTAAAGTTTCCCAAAATTCAATTTATATATATATGCATATATATATATATATTTATATAAAAAAACTAATAATAATATGTTATGCATCAATAGCAGCAACAGCTTTTCCAGGTTCTGCAGTCATCTGAACAAAGTTATAGACATTCAGCACATTCCATTAAAAAAAAAAAACAAAGAAAAGAATAATATCCAGACAACAGCAAAGTTCTGTTGCTGTTGTGGTACCTGGCACCATTTTTTCTATTAGCCTCTTAATCATCATCTGGAAAGAGAACATTCTAGAGTAATATCATTAAATGTAGCTCTGATAAAGCACGGTCCCTACTATGTATCATAAAGCAGGTACTAGATATTTTACATTCATAGAGGTATGATACAGTACTGTCCTACATCAATAATACTAGATTCAGTTTTGGTTTGAAATTTACTTTGTCTGCAAATAAGATTGCTACCCCTGTTTTTTTCTGGGCTCCTGTCACATGGAGAATTGTTTTCTATCTTTTCACTTTCAGTCTATGGGCTTCTTTTTGCACTAGGTGTGTTTCTTGTATACAACATATTGTTGGATTTTGCTTCTTATTCCATTTTGCCAGTCTATTTCTCTTGATTGGTGAGTTGAGGCCATTGACATTGCTGGTTATAACTGATATGTACTGACTTATTATTGACATGTTATTGGCCTTTTGTTGACTTTTTACTTTTTCACCTTCTCCTTTTAATTTCTTGCCTTACCTATTTGATTCGCTCTGTTGGGCCTCATGGTGTTGTTGCCTTCATTGTCTTTTTCTAGGATCTTGTTTAGAATTCCTTGTAGTGCTGGTTTGGTATTCATGTAGTTTCTCAGGTTTTCTTTGTCATGGAAATGTCTTATTTCCCCATCCAGCCGCCATCGCTCAAGTGCCGGAGGAAGCCTGGGCCCCG